GTGATAATTTTATTTATTCATATTTGGTACGAGATTTTTTAAAATTTTTTGGGATTTTATTGTTTATAATTTTTTTTTAAAAATACCACCAAGTGGGTGGTATTCTAGGATTCCCATGCAAGGAAAATTTAACATAATTAAACATAAGATCAAGAAAATTAACTTAACACTCCAGAAATATTTTGACTTATTAAACAATTTTTTTATAATATTTCTGAGAATTTCATTTTTTCATCATATTTTTTGAAATTTAGATTTCTGGATAAAAATTTTTTATCCAATGACCCCTTATAGTCTTATACAAATGGGATCGGAAAAGCAACAATTTGCATATCCTTATTTGTTTCAACTTTTCGGTATCTTTATTTGGATCCTGCAGTCAAAATTGTTAATTAATGACACGAGGAAACAAACATCTTCCAAAAATGTTATAGTGTACCTTCTATTAAGGTTGAAAATATAATCCTGTTTAAAACAATAATCAATATCCACGAAAGTCACAAGAAAAAAAAAGAACGAAAGAAAGAAACAGTATACATACCACCAGGGTTGGAAATCTGAAGGGCCTTTGAGTCATGGTGAAAACTTTTTATGTGAGAGTAGTATGAGATAGTTATCTCATGTAAAATAAGATAATAATTTTTCTTTATTTTATATGAGGTAGTTATCTCATATTCTCTTACTCCGAAAATTTCATCCTTTTTTTTTTTTTTGCTTTTTAATAGTGAGTCTCACTTGATTTGTCTCTATAACATGAGATAACTATTCTTATGTAAAATGAGAGTAATATTCTTCATATTTTTTTTAGACCCATTTAGATTAAGAGGTCGTTTGTTTAAGCTTTTAGAAAAAGTAACTTTTATCACTTCCTTATTTTAAAAGTATTTTTTTACAAAAGTTAAAGTTATTTATATTTTTATGAAAATATTTAGATTTTGAAAAAAATATTTGACTTTTGACTTCTGCTTTTCTTAGAAGTTAAAATTTTTAGCTTCTGAAAAAAGTAAGTTTTTGACTTTTTTTGTGACTTCTCCTTTTTTTAAAAGCAGACATCCAAACGAACTAAAAACGAGAAGTGCTTTTTTTTCTTGAAAAAAAGCAACTTAAAAAAAAAAAAAAAAGCTCATCCAAACGAGCCCCAAGTGTTTGTTTGAAATATATATATATATATGAGTAAATACCCTTTTTAGTCCCTAGCAATATCCACGAAGCCCTTTTCAGTCTCTAGCAATAAAAAATGGACAAATTGGTCCCTGAAATAATAAAAAAGAGGTCACGTTCATCCTTCCGTTAACTCCCAACTAACGGTGCACAGTTGGCACGTTAGTTTGCTGACGCGGCTTGGATGTGGGACATCGTGGAAGACGAGACGACGACGTTTAGGTCCCTGTCAAAACCACGAGGGCCATTTTGGTACCTGTCAAAATGCACGAGGAGTCCCTGACAAAAATCACGGGGCCCTTATTGGTCCCTAATCAGATAAAAATAGGCACATGACTTCATTGCTTTTCTATGCAGTCCAATTTTGCAAAACAGAAGTGCATTACATCAGAAACAGGAGTGAAATCCATTTGTTCATCACAAAGTAATTAAACTAAATTTCATCACAAAGTAAAATACTCCTTCCTTTCATTTTATTTCAATGAAGTTTGTGTTTCTAACTGAAGTTTCAACCTTATTAACGATTATTCGTTTCTTTTTCAATGCTACTTAAGCTTCCCACTTTGTTAAAAGGGATTCTTGACTCTTGCAAACAGCTTTTACGATCCCTAGAATACTATGAACTGCTTTAATTCTCTTAGTCTGTATAAGACATAACGTTATGCGATTTACGAACAATATCAGTAGTGTAGTATTACAATTATACTATTTATTTTTCTATAAAAGATAATTGCATGATTGTTGCTATTTAAATACAGAGAAAAATCAGAGAAGAAACCAGGTAAATGATTGTTGATAATTGCAATGCATGGCAGTTGACTGGACTGCAGCAGTTGGTAGTTCTCAGCCACATGAAGGCAACTTGAGAGGAAACAACCCACCTCCATCAAATTCACAACAAGAAAATGAGTTGTTGAGTAATGAAACAATGAATCCAGTAACCAGTGGCACACGAAGCAGATTATTGGCCTTCATGAGCACACCTGGTTTTAGGCCACCAAGGCCTGCCTCGAGAAAATGACTTGCTGCTGTATATGACCTGGGAGTAGTGCATGAGCCAACTGAGAAGGGTTTATTATTATCTAACTGACTTTTTTTGAAAATTCTAGTCATTATGTATTTGGAGGCCTTATTATGTCAATGTTTTTTTTTTTTTTTGTAAATTTTGGCCATATTGTATTAGAGGCTTTTTTTTAAATTCCTGGCAGTTGGCTTTATTTTGTAATGCACTACTGTACATCCATGTCTTCAAATATAATGATACTCAAATGATGTCCCAGCTATTATGTTTCACAGGGTTGATGAACGTTTAATTTTACCATTTTTGATGTGTTTTAACTAATACGTAGTTGTAGTTCTTGTACATCCATGTCTTCTAGTTTAACAAATTGGACTGCATACAAATCCAATTTAATGTCATGTTCCTGTTTTGCAAAATTGGATTGCATAGAAAAGCAATGAAGTCATGTGCCTATTTTTCTGTGGTTATGGACCAATAAGGGCCCCGTGCTTATTGTCAGGGACTAAAAACGTCATCGTACATTTTGACAGGGACCAAAATGGCCCTCGTGGTTTTGACAGAGACTAAAACGTCGTCGTCTCGTCTTCCACGGTGTCCCACATCCAAGCCGCGTCAGCAAACTAACGTGCCAACTGTGCATCGTTAGTTGGGCCGTTAAGTGGGAGTTAACAGAAGGATGTGTTGGATATATGCTCTTTTGGTCACTAAACTCCTATTGGGCTTCAGTGACACTTGAGCCCATGAGGCTTAGGGTTGAGTTATGTCTAAGACCTAAGATATATATTCATAGTTTTCTCCTCCTGTGCCTCCAAGGTGAACAGATCATCAGAAACAAACCCAAGAGGCAGACGTTCATCATCTGAACGGTTGCCCACACAACCATCTCATCCTCCTCGAGAGATAGTCTGGAAGATCGATCATAGAGGGAACAACTATTGTTCGTGGTCAAACAACTACGCCCTTCCAGGTAATCAAAACGATGAAGGTTAATCTTTTCCCTCGTCGTGTCGGTTCGATGCGCTTCCGCGTTTCTGATGATATACCCACAATTGGTATCAGAGCCGGATCGCGATGAGGAAAAGAACCAGTTTTGAAATAAATTCATGTGATTGTTTTTGAAAATTATTTTTTGAAAATATGGCATCTTTTTCTATATTTGTTATTTATTTCATGGTGATCATTCGTTTATAATTCTTATTCGATATTGCTTTTAATTTTAATCGGTTAATCGCTTTAATCCATGGTTAGATTCTCTCGTGTATTTCTTGATTTGTAACAAGGAGGCTAATCCCATATGATTAGGTTTCCTCCTTGCTGTTTTTGTTTTTTTTTTGGAATTTCTATGTATTTTTCGAATTTCTGTAAAAATTGGAGATCAAGAAACTGCGAAGAACATGAGGATTCAACACTGTCCGAGACTTTTCGTGGACCTCTGGACCTCGGAATTGGACGATCCATATATGGTTGGAAAGAGGACGGAAAGAAGATCAAAATGACGGGTGGATCGCCGCCGTTAGAGCCCCCACGCTCCGCCACGCGCCACCTCAAGTGTCTGAGAGTGGGCTTCACTCTCCGAAAAAGATATGGTGCGTGGGGGCGCGTGCCACACCCTTTTTGGGTGGTTCCGGCGGCCGTGTTCTCGTCTCCCGGTGGCGGTCCTTCCCTTGGATTTTAGTGTTGAGATGACTTCGGCTGACGGCGCAGCAAAACAGTTGGCTTGGGTTCCTTTTTTGTCTCCTAGGGTTTCTAGCAAATGATTGGGTCTTTGGGCTTGTGGGCCCATAGATACCCTAAAGGGGCTTGAGACAGATACTAGGGGCTGGACGGAAAAGGAATTTCAAAGTTGTAATTTTATTTATTTATTGATTATTATAGGAAAGCCATGGATTAAAGTTATTTATTTATTATTTAATGCTTTAATTGAATGGTATGAATTATATGTGCGATTAAACATGATGTATGAAATAACATGTCATATAGAATAGGAAGATGTCATATTGTTGCATGATCACATGTCATTACTGCATAGTAGCTATTATGTCTTGAATCGACTAGTATGATAGTTAGTATGCGTGATTATTTAGGTTGTCCATTGGATTAATTAATTATGGATTTAAAATCTAGATAAATAATCCAGTTAATTACCTAAGAGAAAATTGTTTTTTGAGAAAATAATTTTTTGTGGGTTTTCTGAAATGGTCATGGAGTAACACGTGTTGACGCAAAGTGACCGGATTTCTGAAATCAAACAAATTTTTTTTTTGAATTAAACATTTCTTGGAAATTAAAAATTATAATTTTAAAATATTGAATGGGTGAAGGTTTTAAATTAAATTTTTAATTATAAAACCTACGGGCTCCAATTATGGGTTTATTAGTGAAATGATTATCGCTGAAGCCCCATCGGATAAGGATAATCGGATTTTGCTAGATTAAACCTTAATATCTTCAAAATTTTGGTAAAGTTTTGTACGACCCATCGTCGGCAACACTTAGATACTAAAGATAATTTTGACAATAAACAATGGTTAAATACATTCAACTTTAATAAAATTGTTATCCCTCCCATCGAGGCTCTGGCAATGGAACTGAAGGCCCAAAATAACAATATTAGTTTTACAAGTATCTTGCCCATCGTAAGCCTTGTAAAGATAGCTAATGGATTGTTAAACAATAAACGAATAGTAATTATTAGAATCTACTAGCGCTATATCTGTTTGTTGTTTTTTTTTTTCGAGTTTGTAAATAATGTGTGTGATTTTATTTTCAGAAAAATGTCTTCATTCAATCCTTTAGCTACTATTTTGAGTCAAAAACAATGGATGGTACAAACTACAAACAATGGAAAACAAATCTGGATATTGTTCTTCAATATGAAAAGCTCAATTTTGTTCTGACCACCCCTATACCGGCGCAGCCTGCTGAAGATGCGCCTGAGGCAACAAAGGCCCAATTTCAACAGGAGAAGGAGAAATAGGAGAACGCAAATGTGGCAGTTCGCTGTTACATTTTAGCCAGTCTTGCCAATCACCTTCAGGAGCAGGTAAACATGGTTGAGAGTGGAGCAGCTATGCTCCAGACTCTTGATGGCATGTTTGCTACATCTAGCAGCTCTGCTAGGCAGATTGCGCTGAATGCTGTCACTAAGACAGTAATGTCTGGAGGAAGTGTGCGGGATCATTGTTTGTCAATGATTGCAAACTTCAAGAAGGCTGAGGATCATGGGGTCAAGTTTGAACAAGAAGTAAAAGTTGACCTTCTCTTGCAATCATTGCCTGAATAATTCACTCAATTCAAGATGAATTATAATATGAATAAGATGAATCTTAATCTTACTCAACTGATGCACGAGCTTGAGAGTGCTGAACAGTCTCTAGTCAAGCAGAGCAATGCATTTTATGCTGGTGAAAGTTCTGTGAAACCTAAGGGGAAACCCAAGGGGAAGAACAAGAACAAGAAAAAGAAGAAATCAGGTATTCCAGTTGCCAAACCAGTTGCAATGAAGCAACCGAAAGGTAAGTGCTTCAAGTGCGGACAAAAGGGGCATTGGAAGAAAAATTGCCCACGCATGAATCAGCCAGGTATGGGTAATTTACATGTGATTGAGGCTTGTTTAGTGGAGAATTACAATGATAAATGGATCATTGATTCAGGAGCCACTAACCATGTTTGTTACTCTTTGCAGTGGTTCAAACATAGCTTGCCTTTAAGCGAAGGACAAAGAGTTTTGAAGCTTGGAAATGGGGAGCTTGTGTCTGCACTGGCAGTGGGACAAGTTATTTTATCTTTTAATAATTGCAGAACTTTGGTTTTAGAAGACTGTTTATTTATTCCGGATTTTAAGAGGAATTTAATTTCTGTTAGTTGTTTGATTAAACATGGTTTAACAGTTCAGTTTAATTCCTCAGTTTCAATAAGGAGTTCATCTTCTTTTATTTGTTCTGGCGTAATGTTTAATGGTCTTTATTTCCTTAGTCCTGTACCCTGTGAAGTTTATCATGTTGAATTAAGAGATGTTGAGCATATCAACTCATCAAAGAAAAGAAAAGTTTCCAATGAAACTTATCTTTGGCATTTGAGGTTGGGTCACATTAACTCAAACAGGATACACGGTTTGGTTAAAAGTGGGATCTTAAAATCCCTGAACTTTGAACCAATACCAGTATGTGAATCTTGTTTAGAGGGTAAAATGACTAAGAGATCCAAGAGTTCAAGGCTGAGGCAGAAAAACATCTTGGTGTTCAAATTAAGACTCTTCGGTCTGATCGAGGGGGTGAATACCTATATGGAGAGTTCAGGTCTTACCTGACCCAAGAGGGGATAGTTTCACAATTATCTTCTCCAGGGACACCCCAGCAGAATGGAGTCGCTGAAAGGAGAAATAGAACCCTTTTAGAGATGGCAAGATCGATGCTCAGTTATTCACCTTTGCCTGATTCATTCTGGGGATATGCCTTAGAAACTGCTATGTACCTTTTGAACTTGGCTCCATCAAAATCTGTTCTAAAGA